AAGGAAGGAAGGAAGGAAGAAAGGAAGAAAGAAAGAAAGAAAGAAAGAAAGAAAGAAAGAAAGAAAGAAAGAAAGAAAGAAAGAAAGAAAGGAAGGAAGGAAGAAAGTAAGAAAACAAGTTAGTTCTTCTGAGTAATAATTCTAATATGTGCTTAAAAACACTAACTTTCTACCTCCAGAAACCTAAATGATCTGATGTAACTAGCTTGGTTTATTATTGGTAAAATTTTAAATTTCTTAACATTTCTATATGTTAATATGCCAGTTTTCAAAGATGTCTCAAGTTTCATGTTACAGCTTTTCTCTCCACAGCACTGGAGACATAGAAGACTGATGGTTCTTTTCATAAACTGTGTTGTCTCTAGCTATCTACATTACTTTGGCTTTTGTACATAATGGTATATTTGAGATCCCTGGGCTTTACCAAAACAGAGAGAAAGGAGTATCCATTCATGATGTAAGGTAATGACTTATTTGTACATTTAGAATTTCCTCTCCCCAGGTTAACCCTGGAACTGTGTATATTGCATGAAGGGAGAATAGGTCTGATTATTATTTTAATCAGTGTTTAATCAAACCAGTATCTATTTAAATGTTGGTAATCAAAAGAATGCATACCATTCTAGGGTTAGAAAATATTTGATGGTGTGGGTAAAACTATAATTGGAAAGAATTTTCAAAAGATGATTCTACCTTTTTTTGTCTAACCTTGCTCTCTTCCAGAGTCATGGGTTATGGCTTGAGTTTCTAGCCAGCAACCTCATAAAAATTGGTCACAAAAGAAAAACCAGAAAAGAAAGCATGGATGATCAGTACAAATCCATCACCCATGCTTAAGAAACACTAAAAATCTATGTTTTTGTGTTAAATGTATCATCTCCACATATAAAGGAGACTTGCATTATCATTGTTGAACTGATATGTCTACTCTAAAATATTAGTTCAATCTCGTCAAAACAGCATGGTCAGGAGGAAAATATATCCCTTTTAAGCCTTGTGTATAATATATTTAAAATAGTTATTCTTTTGTGTAGAAGGTATTACGGGGTGTCAGGGGAATTTTGTGGAGAGTACCACTGAGTCAAAAATAAAGATGTGGTAAGGAATAGAAGAAAAAAGGAATTTGTGTTTATGTTGGTCAGATGGCCTGGAGGGTCAGGCTTCATTAGAGGGCAACCAGTCAAAGAGCCTATGGAATTCACCTGAACTTTTCCAGTGACCAGAAGAAAACAAAACTTAAATTTTTGGAAACTGTCTAGTCATCGGCCACAGCCGGAGAATTGTTCAGACTCCCGAGTGGCATCTGAGAATATTCATTCTGATAAAATTCACCGGATAGTTGCTTAGTTTTCCAGTCTACCTCATCTTCTGTATACAAAGCCTAAATGTCAAAGGAAAGTTCTTCAACATCAAATGGCAGACAGTCATATTACCATGATTGAAGGTATACAATGTAGCTAAAGCTTAAATCATGCCATACAAATTGTGAACATTACAAACTTGAAAGCAATGAAAAAACAAAAATAAATCCTGTAAAAAAAGGTACATAAATATCGAACAAATGACAAAAAGCAATCACCATTTGTCATTTAGAAAATATGAAATTTCTGAAAATCTCCCTCCTTTTTATTTTTAATTATACTTCTTATTTAAAAAAAGACAAACATTTCTGTTCACATCCTTCATTAAATATGCCAGTTTATAAGGCCTATCAGGAACTCTTCCCACAGCAGCTCAAAAATCCAAAGAAAAACTAGGCCAGCAAAAAGAAGACAGTATCAATATGAATGAATTTTTCTACCCAGAATACAATTAAATTGAGATTTTATAGTAACAAAACTTTTTCTCTTAACTTAGAGAATAGTAGCAAAATAGACTTTTGTGTAGCATGCTGTATAATGTTGACACAGATTCTGTTATTGTTTTACATATACCAAAGCAGAGTGATCATAGGGAGGAGCCAATATTGACCTGCTAACTGACACTGAATCTTGGAGCAATCTCTTAAGTTTACCACATTTCAATTTCAAAATGCATTTCAGCTATAATATGAGTGATTTATCATTTAGTAGTAGCTGTCAAAGTAAACTCCTAGATAAAACAAAAACATCTGGAAACATAAACAGAGGAGAGCTGTAGTTGAATATTAATCCAAACCCGGCATGCTCATTTCATTAGGAATAGAAAACAGCTAATTAGTAGTTAAATGTTTCATGTTTTTATGAGGGTTTGTACTTGAGCTCTAAACAGAGATGATCTAATATGCATTTTTGATGTAAACAAGATTAAATATCAGGAGGAGCAAGGAACAAAGCCTCTCTGGAGGAATGTTAGGGAGCTTTGGAACTTACAAGGAGTGACACAGACATTTGTGGAGAACTGACAGAGTTTATTGCTTTAAAATTTATTAGATAAGTAAAAGGGGGAATTTGATACACATAAATGTGACCATTGTAGAAATAAAAATGAAAGCCCATACAGTCCTTCCCTTAGCACAGTACTGCCTGACATAGGCAAACCCCATGACACAGGAGATGAGCCTCTGCTGATCAGTTGAGTTATCTCCAAAGGGCCACACCTGACAGTACCAAATTTAAATAAGTGTGAGACTTGCCTTCTGTGGTATATATCTGAAGCTAATGCAAAGGAAAACGCTAAAATCAGGTGTCATAAAGGCCAGAAGAAAACACATGAGTATTTGTTATAGTTCAACCAAAGTCAATTAAACATACCTATTTGTAAAAAGACATTAGTTTGTTTTTAAGTGATTTAGTTAATTTGAAAATGCTGTTCAATTTCCCCTATAGTTCAATATATGTTGCTTGCTTATCAAGTAATGAGATATTTATGGTTGTTATATTTTAAATCATTAATCTGTGTTATCCAGTTCAGATATTTGGTATTAATAAATTTAAAAAAATAAATTTAAAAAAATTATTTGCCTCAGTCCTCCATGGCTTATTTCTAATTTGCATTATTACACTGACTTCAGTTAAAGCAGCCCACCTACTCTATACAAGTAGACCTTCTACAGTCTGTAGAGAGCACCTGAAGCCAAATGCCTATGCCATCGAAGGAATTCCTTCAGATCATGGAACAAGTGGAATGTCATATTGATATAAATTAATGTAATATTTAGAAGTGTGTAGGGTAGGTGGCCATCTCAGCAGAAACTGCATGTAGTGCTACAGAGAACTGATTATTGTAGAATGGTTAAAACCTCAGTTGGACTTTTACATAAGATGAGTAGTGCTTCTGTTACAACTTAATTCTTAGGCAGATGTAAAAATAACAATGGATTACATTTCGCTTGTGTAAGGGGGGAACTCTAGGAGGAGCATTAAATCTTTTTGATCACTAGAGTAACATTTAACACATTGTAATACTGTTCTATTAGATTCTTAGGAAGCATAAAAATAATGAGGACAGGTATTAGCCACCAGCCTTTGGCCAAGTCTCTATTAAGTACTAGTAAACACTTAAAAATATGTGAGGCCATTTCCTGGATAATTCAAGCCAAACAACCCATTTGGTTCTAATCACTGGAACATTTTAGGCATCTTGCCATGTGTAGAGCAGAGGGTGAGCAATGGAAAATATCTATGATGCAACTGACCCATCATATCTGCCTTTCTCCTTTCTTATGCCCATACATTTTTCAATTGTTTGCTTGATGATAGCTTAATACAGAGGAAGCAGAATTGAAGGTGGGATGAGATCAGAAAATAATTAAAGGGGTATTTTTAGTAGCTTGGGTATGTGGTTATATCATTGCCTTCTTTACAGATTAAGGATGTGCTAGTAGAAAGGGATTGGTTGAGTTGCTCCACCATCAACAGATTAAAGGAAGAATTAGGCATGGTAATAACTACAAACTAGAGCTCTCTATATTCTCTTTGAGAGCACTACAAGCAACGTGTATCTTTTAGAAAGGTGAGCGCTAAAGCAGTCGTAACATATATTGATCATTTGCACAAATGAATTACCCCCTCACATAATTCCTGTTGAATCCCAGGTCAGCCAGATTTAAAGCTATTTCATAGTAATCAGAGCTTGAAGTGGTTATGTCTACATTTTCATTTCTGTCATGTCATTTAGAAATAGCATTTTCTCTGTCTTAAAAATTATTTCACTTTCTCACCTACTAAGATGTTGTGTGGATTAACATGATAATTTTTTTGAAGCACTATGAATTCCATGGAAGAAAGGGATTATAGAAGTGTAAAGTATCAAAATTAATCATCATTATGATTATCTGCTAAAAATGTGTAAAGCCCATTCTCTAGTACATTTTCCCTGTACGTGCAAAGTTCTATTTACTTGTAATGAACAAACAGTAATTGGTGGTTCCATGTTTTAAGAATTTGAGTACGAATTCTTAAGAATTACACTAGATAAACAGGTAACTGCTACAGCACCCTATTCGCGCCTATGATCAGTTGGAGTTCTGGCATCAGTGTTCAGGCTGCAAAGAAAAAAATAAAAAAGACTGTATCAAAATTTCATTCCAACAAAAAACAAATCTAAAATCTACTCAATGAACTTCACTGTAAACCACAAACTGGCTTTATAGTATGTTGCTGTGCTATATATGTCCAAGATTTTAATAAATCTGTGTGCAATAAAAGTATTATTTTATTAGGCTTATTCCTTAATCATATATTCATGGATGTGAGTCTCATTCAATTAAAAATGAAATTATACAAAGGCAAGCAAACTGTAGATTTATAGTAGTTTAAACTTAACCTTAATCTCTGGGGTGATATTGACAATATAAAAGCAGTGTAAATGATATTCCCTCACTCTAAAATATGCTTATGAGCCCCTTGTGCATGTTCTACTGCTTTACAACCTGCAGTGAAATGCATAACTAGCTTAATAAGCAAGGCATCTGGAAAGTTGTTTTTTTGTTTTTGTTTTTTTTTTTGCCCCTTCACAGACTGAAACATGAGTATAGATCCACACCATTTTCTCTGAGTCAAAATCTTTGTTAATGATTGCAATTTCCCCTGAGGATGCAATTTCCTTCCCTGACAGAATGGTTATTTAAAAGTAACTTCTTACTATTTATTTTTTTAAAACTACTAATAAGTGTGTCTATAATGTTTTATGAAGATTTAAATTTATGGTTAGAAAAATTATTTTCCCTACCCAGGACTATGTTTTTTTTTGCTCCCCCTCCCAAGTGTTTAATCACCTCTTATTCACTTTTATAAACATGATTTTCTTATCACAAGCATACTTTGGGCTATCAAACCTTTCTTTTGAGGTAGCTAACTTATTCACGAACTAATGGCAATATTTTATACATGATTTCTTTTTTTTTCTGGTAATTTCTCCATCTTTCTCTCCAGGGAACAGCTTACAGATAACCCTGCTTCAACCAAATTTGGCCCCTCTGTTTGTAAAGACTCACAATCCCAGGAAAGATAATTCTATTGACCTAGCTCAGGTCAATCAAGCATCTTCACTATTTTTTAAAATACCACTCATCTTCTCTACCCGAATCCTGAATCAATTGAGAATAACACAAAGAAATAAGGCCAAAGAAGATGAAATATCATATGTATTATGGAGAAGTCTTTATTCATTTATTTATTTATTTATTTATTTATTTAAATTGAATGTATTGAGGTGACATCATATCTAATAATAGACAAACATGGTAATTGACCGTACCTTCGCTACACCTCCCATTGGTTAATCAGCGCAATATGCAAATTAACCGCCAACAAAGATGGCAG